AGCCAAGTTCATCAGGAAAGCCAGCTCCCCACAGCCTCTCTCAGCTCCCAACAGCCTCTCTCAGCTCCCAACAGCCTTGCTTCTTCTCCTCCAGGTCTGCCTCTTATGCTGCTGGCAACAGTCCTCAGGTGGGCCTCCCACACCCAGCACCACACACTCCGTTCAGCTGGGGGTTATAAGATGACCACCATTATCAATCTACTACATGCTCTAAGTGCACGATTATAAAAAATATTAACAGAAATACAATAAGAGGATGGATAGTTCTGTTTAATGTCTTCTGATATTTTTGTGAACCATAAAAGCACAATTGTTAACATGTGTTAAGTTGGTGTAAATGGACTTTTAAAAAATGAACAGATTGTCTATTATCATCTTTTTACTATTTTTCTTAATGATATCCTTTTATAGCCAGCATAAAAAGATGAATATTTAAAATGAAAGAGTAAAGAACAGGAAATAGAGTTCTATGTCTTTACAGGTTACAATACTTACACAGAATATACAAATGACCTACCAGTTATTAGAAGATAAGAAACTTCTGTCAAGATAACTGGATGAATGCTCTGTGTAGTGATATGTACCTGTAATCCCAGGTACTTGGGAAGTTGAGGCAGGAAGCCTGCAGATTTGAGGACAACATGGGCAACAGAGCAAGAACCCCTTACCAAAAAATAGTTGCTTGATGGCTAATAGCATTTCCATATACCTTCAGCAAGTAACAGTGACATGTAATAAATGGTAAGATTTTTTTTTCAATAGTATTAGCAAATATCTTCTCCTTTAGAGATAATTTTAGTAAAGACAGGCAGCAGGTCTACACTGGGAAATATATATAAAACTTTATTATGAAATAGCAGAGAAAATCCTATTTAAATGGAATTATATCTTATATTCACTTATAAGAAGATAAACTGATCTATAGATTCAATGCAACTTCAATAAAAACCCAAGATTTTTTTCAGAGAATGAGATGTATTATTCAAAAGTTTTAATGGAATAGTAATGTCCCAAGAACAGCCGTGTCCTTCATTTTCCCCTTAGGAGATTCACTGCTTAATAGTCTGTGTCCAGCTCTATCAGTTCAACAGCAGTGGAGACAGATTCATCTTAAGGCACCAGAAGCCCTGCAGAAGATGTTCTCAGGACAAGCCTTTGCCTCAACACTAAAGCAGCTTTAGGAAGAATCACCTGTTAGACTGTAATTCACCAGCCCTGGAGAGCTGGAGGAAGAAGGGACGGGACCCGCTGAGGCCGGTGAATATTGGCCTGTTCTAGCTCTGTGTCCTGCGAGGTGCTATGTAACGTGTTGTCTGAGTCTTAAAGACGACTAAATGAGAAAATGTGTCACCAGGGGAGGGGGTAGACGCTGCCTGTCTGATGACAACTGATAGATAGAACCAACAGCAAATTCTTAGGAAGAACTCTTTTAATTTGTCTTCCCACAGTTTCTCGAAGTTTCCTTCCCTCCTCAAGGCAAACAAGACAGAGTGAGGCTGACAGGAGATCATGAGAGTCCCAGCACAAGAAGCTTGTTTCCCACTAGGACTGTAGTATTAAGTGATAGAGGGTGCAATGTACAGACTTACGGGAACTTCCGAGGTTCAGCATGATTCCTGAGAGATTTGGCTATAATTCTGCTGCTCCTCCTTTAATCAAGAAGGCTTACTAGAACACAAGGTAAAGTGAAGATCTTTAAAGGATAATCTTATTCCACTGTAGTTTTTAGAAAGTAAACCATACATGTACTCAAGTACTGACATAGTGTCAAAAATTATACAGCAGAATTCAGGTATGAGAAAAAATTAATTTACTTTTAATAACTCAACTTTATTCAGTAGCTCCAGGTATCACTTGTCAGTAAAATAAAGAAAACTAAACTTTTGTCCAACATAACTTAGTGTCTTTCAGGTTTTATGTTCTAACATATTGTGACCTTAACCCATCCACAAGAAGACAGAATATTGAGACCTAGTAAAACAGAAGCATATGTATATGTACCCAAAGATAGATAGAAGATAGGGAGTTATGTAGGTAATAGGTAGATGATAGAGATTTAACTATAAAAATGAAACCTCAATTACCAGCAAACAACACAAGAGAACTTACATTTTTCTCTTTAATGCTATTTTTGATCAAAAAATATATTGCAAATTGCAACAATAAATTACTTTAAGCAGTTTAAAAGATGCTAATGTAAACACACTGAGCTGTAGCCATTAATTTTAGTATCAGTTAGGCTTGGGTTTTTTATATCCTCTTTTTCTTGCCTTTCTTTTTCTCTAAGCATACAATGAAATTATTTAGCTGTAAGAATGGAGAGCGGGGACTGATGATATTAGCAAGCTGTACCTGAGAAGGAAAATATTAACCCAAGACTATTTCTTTCTTTCTCCATGCCCCTTTCTACAAGTTATTTCCCGACAGAAAAGAGCACTGCATTCGCTCTTTTCTGGTAAAAACTGACCTTCTGTCTTATCCTTACCCTTACTTGTGTTCTGTTTGTTCTCATTGCTGAGGCAACAAATCCCTTTTTAAGAATTAGTCATTACAGCAGAAGAACACAGTTCCAGGAGGACCCCTTAATCACCCCACCAGTCAGGGAGCAAAGTTCTTTGCTTTAAATGAAATTTAACAATTTTTATTTATAAGAATACTGTATATTATTGAGACATAGGTTCCATTTGATATAGATGAGAAAACAGATATATCCACAGTGAAGTCACGGTAGAGTTACTTTGTGCCCTTGTGGACCTTATTTTTGTTTGTTTGTTTGCTTGTTTGTTTTGTTTTTTTCTAGTACTGGGAATCAAACTCGCAACCTTGCGCTTACCAGGCAGGTGCTGTGCCACTGAGCTAAACCTCCAGCCCCTATTTTTTGTTTTTCAGATGAGTTTTTGTTCTTGTTTTCTGGTGCTGAGGACCAAACCCAAGGCTTCCAGCTTGCTAGAAGAGCGTTCTACCCCTGAGCTAAACCCGCAGCCCCTTAGTGCTGTTTCTTCAGTTGCTTCTCAGGCTGTTTCCTCATCCACAAATAGGAAAAGTAATATAAATGTTGCACGTATTTAGGTACTATTTAGGAATGAAATGGCAATTAATTTAATATTCATTCTGAAACGTGGTGACTGCTCTCCAGATATAAATGAATATATTGTTTATATGCAAATATTAATTATAAGTCTAATAGTCATAGCCTATTAAATATGAAATTTTAGAATGCTGATGTGTGGGATACCAAAATTCTGTATCACTTTTATGAAACTATTGATAGCTTGTCTGTGAATTCATAGAGACATGAAGGTCACAGGGTCCACCCTATTCAGATACTGAGATCCTTTTCAGAACCTCCTGAAAACTAAGCATGCTCTTCCCAGAAAGGTACTTATCTGTACCCATAGACAGGATTTTGCAAGAAATCTCAAGGTGTTCACACTCGTGGATCCTAACTAAAGGCCACCATATCTACCTTAGATTAGTATACAGGAAGTCTGATAATATGGCCTCCTCCTTTGTGGATATTCGGGTTTACCAGAATATTATAATTTTCTGTTAGTGACCATGATATAGAAGAATTTCTTTTCCTTTCCAGCTGTCTTGCTATCTGTTCCTCACTTTAGCTATATTCCTTCTAAAACAGATGGCTTTTATTTATTTTTGATTGTTTAATTTTTATCACACGTTTATAGCACACAGTGACTGCACTCATCACAGGTGTTGGTACATGCGCATAACACGTCCTAATTGTTTCTCCTTCCCCTCACCCCTCTTCCCTCTTCCATGTCTCAGTCCCATTCCTACTTATAAAAGATCGATTTCTTCTGGTGCATTTCATAAAAGTTTACGGTAAGCAATTACACAGAAAACTTAGAGTTAGAGAACAATGAACAAGTCTAACACCTTCATTTTCCAATGAGTTAATAGAGGCCATAAGAGGTAAGACAAGGCGATTTTCCCAAGACTGCCCCATTGATTTTTTCATAATTTTCTAGTCATACTCACTCTGGTAACACTTTGTGTTATCGTTGTAGATTCATCTAAACCAATTGTTATGCAATAGAAAGTTCATTACATATTTAACTATAATACTAATTAAATTAATACTTTCCAATTAAAATAATATTGGTATTGCAATATAAGAAAGGTCTTTTAGATTACAAACATGTAGGACTATAAATGAATATAAATTATTTTTAAATTAATACATTACTTAGGAACAAAAAATTAAGTAGATATGATTTCATAATAATTACAGTAATGAATAAAGCAGCTCTGGCCTCTTAAAACATCCACATGTTTAAGAAATAATTGTTTCATGTGGGTTGTGTGTTAATTAGGTTATTAGCGCACATTAAACATGGTGCCTTATGAACATGTTTCATTTTCTCCTTTTCTCACTTCATCACATTAATATGATAATAACTCGAAGTAATCACATAAAAAGCCAAATGTAATAAGACAAAGTTAAATTAGGTTAAATAATTTAATATCTTTCTAATTTTTTAAAAATATGATGTGCTGCTTTGTGTCTTAAAATGCTATTTTAAAATGTTGCCCATGGTCTCCTACCTATTGCCCTTCTTTCCCACCATTGAAAATCAGGGCCAGTCACTGTGATTTCATGATTGCTGTTGTGAAATTTGTAGAGGATAAAAGCACTTGACCTACATTTTTCTTTAGGCTCTTCCTTCTGTAACCTGAAAGGAAAAAAAAAAACCCAGAAACGGAGTTCACAGTGAGAACGGTAATCCTTTTTGCACCACCTACACCTTTATTCTCGGGGTTGTGCAATCAGCTTTGATAGCATTTGAGGACACTAATCAGTCAGACTCAGAGATTATTGATCCAGAGAAAGCACATAAATGATTTCCTGTCCATTTTTTCATTTCTGTGGGTAGCTCTGAAAAGAAAACTCAGTACCATCAACGCCTCAAAACCTCCTATAAACAAATGTATAACCATAATGCAAAAACGTAAAAAGCACGACACAACTAGTGTGCAATTGTTAACATTTGCTTGATGTTAATAATAAAATGTGTAGTTTTAAGGGAAGTGCTTCTACAAGATATCTTACACACAGCAGCTCCTTCTTTCCAAGGAATTCGGGGTAGTGTTGACTACAAACACTCCCACGGGATTTTGTTTCCGTATGTTCACTTGAGCTTTCAGAGGATCAGCCTGTAAGAGACATAACAGGAACTGGTGTTTGATATTGTACACAGGAATTATGTACATAGATCAGTGTAAATTGTAGAGAATCCAGATAATGAACTTTTCTTACCTCTTCCATATCTCTCTCCTAATTAGAGAGCTGTGATATTTCATTTACACTGGCTTGCATCCTAAAATTACAGATTAATTTCAAACATCACATACGCATGAGCAGATAATAACGTATTGTCCGTATGTCTTACATACTTTTTATTTGCATTTCCTAATATCATTAGTGTCCTAATTAGTGTCACATAGATGTGACACTAAAATTTGAGCTGAAGTAAACAAAATAGATGGAAACGTGCTATTGAACCACAAAGAATTAGAAATCAGAAATATTACTGTGTTGCCATATGTCAGCCAATTAATGAAATTATATTTATAATACCCAAAGGGCAAATTTTTAACTGAAATATTTTCCCAGTTATTTTTGAGATAACTCACCTTCCCACCTCTGCAACATTTACTTAAAATAAATATTAAACATCTCCTCTGGGGAGTGTGTGTTAAAGGATTAGGCCTTAGTTACTATGAAATACTTGAGACTAAAGTTGAAAGCAGAAAACTAAATAGCTGAATTCAGAAAATTCAGAAGATCCATCATGTTAAGTATTTCTATTTTTTGTTCTTCAGCATTTTCTTCTGCACAAAATCTGTGTTCCATTTGAAGGGCTGCTCCTTATCTTTAAAGCAGGAACTTACTGGTGTCTTAAAAACAGGACTTATCTCTGGGCCCGGAGAGTGCTTAGTTTGCCAGGGTAGTTGATCCAACAGTAAGAGTCTGGTGAATTTCCCTTACAGTGTCTTCAGGCTTATAATTATTTGCTTCATCAGAGAGGAAAAATAAATGTTTTTCTGGACAAGATATGAAAAGGCTCTGTCTTCAGCCTAGTATACATAGTTTTGTTTTAGCACCATTTCAGAATAAAATTTTATAAGGAATGTTCAGAATTTCTTTCCCTAAAGAAAGAAATTTAGATAGTTTCTCTTCTCTCTAGATTTGTTAAATGCTGGCTTTAAATGCAATGCAGTGAATGTACAAGAAATTCTTTCAAGAACTGTTCCTACCCTACTGGTAGGCATGATGATGCACTAATGTAGAACAAGTTAACTCCTTCAGGTATACAGTGAAGTTGGAAGAAAAGTTCCATCTATCACAGCTCTCAGAGGTTACTTTGGTTTGAGTTAGCCAAGCTGACCTGATGTGGGACAACTCAGAAAGGCACTGCTCAGTCCAAAGCTCCCCGTGGGGTTAGCCACGGCTTTCGGGGGTCTCTATCACAACTTCTCCATCTGTTCAATAGATTGCCTCCTTTCTTTCACAGATGCTGAGTTTTAAGAATTTTCCTACATCCTATACTGCCTCAGCATCCACTTCAGAGACATCCAAGTTGAAACAGTAGGTGTGAAGTCTGGTCTAAAAACATAAGCATTGAAACAGAGTTTTGTACTACTCACCATCCTGGTGGATGAGACTCTAGCACTGGCAGAAAGGGAATTCCAATAATCCTTTGATGCAAAATGGAAGTTCAATTGTGAAAACTTTTACAAAGATAAGTTTTGATGATATCAGTGGTAGGATACTTAAAAATAAGTTTGAGTATTGTTTGACTGTTTCTTAAGGTTAGTGAATTCACTGTAGGAGAATAAAGATGAACAGAAGGTAAGGAATAGGCAACTGAAAAAGAAGTGTGAAAGATCATGTGATTTCATCTCCTGCTGCAGAAGGGCAAAGAAAAGTTAGACCTATACCCATAATTTAATTGTCTAAGTGACTGAACTGCAAAGAAGTCCTGATACCAGTCCAGAAAAGGTCTGCTATGTTATAATCAGGGTCTTCATTAGAAAGTCAGCTTTCCAAATGAACGTACCACAAGATGAAAAGGCTCATCAGATTGGATTTTCTGTATATTTCACTCCCCAGCCACCTTGCAATCTTGTAAACCTGAAGAAATGTACTATCTCCCTATTATGTAGACACACACATACCTGTCCTGCATCAGGAGGTAGCAAGTCACCCTGTCAGAATTTGGCTCCACCTCCCTTCTTGGCCTTTGGGGTAATGTTCACATCCACTAGGGGTTATGTGCTTTTAGGACCCCTACAATATTCCAAAAGCAGGAGTGGAGTTCTTGTTATCTCTGTACTAAACTCTCCTAACTAGCCCCTGTACAGATTGGATAACAGAAGATTACCAAAGTTCAGAGAAGAATTAATCTAACTTTAGCTTCTCTGTCAAGTTGTTATCTTTGTTAGAATAAATTAATAAAGCTAGTTAATTGGATAAACAGATTTCCTTCTATCCCAACCTGAAAATATCATAAATAATTCATATTCACACTGAATATACAATAGTGCACATTTACAATTTTGCCACTGTGCTGCTATGTCCCTCTCTCTCTAATATCATAGGCTAAGAAATCTGGATCATCTAGACAGAGCAGTACATTAGTCCATTACCTCAGGGACATCCTATTAAATAGTATAAATGAGCAAGATATGCAGCAATGTAATGGTCACAATAAGAAGCATTTACTCCAGAGAGTAGGAGATAACTGTACAGAGAATAAACAGTTCACCTCTGGCCTGCTGTTCAGGATATGATGACTCCTCCCCTCCAAAATGAGACAAAAGTTATTACATTTTACACATCCTTCTGTGACATGAAGAGGACCAGGATGCAAATAGAAAAGGCACATGATAGAGACCAGGTTCAGATTTATCTTGCAGTTGGAAATAAGGACTCCATTGGCAGTTGGACTCCAGCCCATGTGTGATGTGCCTTGGTAGAAAATTTGTCTACATTTTGCTCATGTCCTGGGATTTCTGGGAGACTGAGATTAAGGGCAGTGGATTAATTAACCTGGTAGAGAAAATTTCAAGGCAGTGTAATTGTGTTGAATCGACAACTGGGGGTCAACTTATAACACCCAGCTGAACTCAACCAGCATGGTGCTGGATGTGGGTAGCCCATCTGAGGATTGCTGTCAGCAGCATAAGAGGCAGCACTGGAGAGGAAGAAGAGAGGCTGTTGGGAGGTGAGAGAGGATGTTAGGAGCTGGTAGAAGCTATTTAAGAAGCTGTCGGAAGATGTTAGACGCTATAAGGAGCTGTTGGTTCTCTTGGAGGACGCTGTCATGCTGGCTTTCCTGTTATATGTGGCTATTCTCATCAGAGGAGGATCTCAGGACCTTCTTGTCACTGAGAATGGCTTCGGTTCACTTTGGGGGAGCTCTGGTCCTCACTTTGAGCATCACTTCTTGGCTCCAGAGGGAAGATGATGCACTGCTCAGTCTCCTGGAGAAGCTTGTCACATTGGCTTTCCGGATGGGAACTTGACCGTTCTGATCAATGAAGGAGCTCGGGCCCTCACTATTGCTAAAGGCAGCTATGGTACTTTTTGGGGGAGCTCTGGCTATTACTTTGATTGTAGTTTCCCGGCATCAGTGCAAATCCCTCAGCTCGCTAGCACAGATCCTTCATCTCGCTGGCATAGACTTTTGAGCTTCCACCACTGACCTTTGGGTCTTCCCAGAGCAGATCCATGAAACAGGCCTGCATGAGATATTGTTACAGGCTCTGGGCCTCCAGCTGGACTCGTGGGAGGCATTGTTACGGGCTCTAGGTCTTCAGCTGAATTCATGCAGGACATTACCATGGGATCCAGGCCCTCAGCTGAATTCTTTGGTCTTTAGTGTATGAACAGATTTCTTGCACACTTTGTATATGATTCCTTGAGTGATTATTATAAAATAATCTTGGGGCTGGGGATTTAGCTCAGCGGCAAAGCGCCTGCCTGGCAAGCGCAAGGTCGTGAGTTCGGTCCCCGGTACCGGAGAAAAACAAAAAAATTTAAAAAAAAAAATAAATAAATAAATAAATAAAATAAAATAAAATAATCTTATAAAATATGTGTCCTGTATTATACTGTTCCCCTTGCAAAACCCCAAACTACACACTAATGTTGAGGCTCTTCCATTGGTACTACTGGTGGCTTTTATCTAGTTCTATGTTGAGAATCAAGAAAAATAGCAGAGTTGAATGACTTAAAATGTTTTAAGTTTGGTCAAAAAAAGAAGCTCTGATAAAATTGGGGCATACAAAATTGGAGCACAGGAGGGCTGGGTTGATGGAAAGATAGCATTAGGAAAAAATGGTTTGAGGGCATGTCAGCAAACAGGAAAGACCCCTCACTTCACAGGGTCAAGGGTACCAGCCTCAAAGAATTTGTGTCGAGAAGAGACCTCAAGGATACCTGTTGGAGAAAAGCCCTTATAGAACTGACTTACTGGGATTCAGTTTACCATGCTCAGCAATCCAGGCACTCTGAGGTCTTTGCAACCACGCAAATGGGCTGAGCTACTGCTCCAGGTAGTAGCAGACCTTCATGTCATGTACATGGTGCTGGGTTTACACACATGCCGAATGCAAGAGTTGTGGAGTCAGAAAGGCTTCTACCCAGATTTCAGAGGAACAGGCCACTTGCCCATGAGAGGGCAGATGTGATGCTATGAGAGTAGGACTGAGAGGGCAATGGAGACTCTGGTAAGATGGAGAAGCCAGAAGTGTACCACATCTGAGAAAAGCAGCAAGGAGTGAGCAGAGTGGGCCCAAGAGAGAAGCCATGATATCCGCAACCACCAGCAATGAATGCCACAATGGCGGGGCCACCCAAGCCCTTTGGTGTTCACATCTGGCCATACCTCGCACTAGGTTCTGGACACAGAACTATAGGATTTAATATTTGCCCTGCTGGAGCTCAGTCTTGCATTGGTCCCTTTGCTTTCTGACCCCCTTATTTCAGCCTTTTAGTATATGAATGTTCATCCTGTGCTTTGCATGTCAGTATTTAACTTTTCATTTCTACATTGGCTCACAGCTAAGAGTTTGCTTGGAGTCTCAGAGGAGACTTTGGACTTGGAAGTTTCAGCATGATAAAATTGTTAGGACTTTGACAACTGTTAGAGATGGAGTACACATATATCGCATAAAGAGAGGCACACGAGTCCTTGGGGGGCCAGATGAAGAATGCTATAGTTTATGTCTAAATGTCCCTCAAAAGCCTCATATACTCATAGATGGGACTCTTGAGAGGTGATTGTATTTCAGGGTATAGAGCAGACTTGCTGTTAGGAGATGGTGTATGGTCATAAAGGTGGGCCACTGGGGGCATGGGTTAAAAGGGATTATTTTCCTTTCTAGCTCCCTTGCTGCCCTCTGCTTCTGCACCACCATACAGTGAGTGGCTCTCCTCAGCTCTCTTCTACCATGCACTCTGCTCTGCCGCCCTACCTTGCAACCAGCCAACTATGAACTGAAACCTCTACGAGCTGAGTGAAGATGAACCTTTACTCCTTTATACTGTGGTTGTCAATGATTTTGTCTCAATGTCAAGGAAAGTAACTAAGACAGCAGGTTGTGAGGTGCCTGTCATTGAACATGTGAGAGTAGAAACACCATAGGAAGATCTTTCTATTATATATTCACGTCCACCAGGTAATATTCAGCATGGAATACCTCTAATGAACATCTGAAGTTGTCAGGGATTTCTATCAGCAGCCAACTTAGTGGAGTTATAAGCAGAGGATACAGTGGCAGGTAAGAACTTATGCTGTACCCAACAATACTGGCTTCTGACTAGCAAAGCTGATGTAGCTACTGCTACTTCCTAGTGTCCAAATGACTAGCAGCAGAGAATAAATGTTAGCTTCCAAAATGGTACAATTTCATGATGAAACCTATTGGATTTCCTCTATGTGGGGATGTCCAGACATGTGTTCTTATAGAAATAGATAACTATCTTAAGTGTACATTTCATTTACTTGCTCACAGAATCTCAGAAAATACAAGTATCTATTTTTTCTGGAGTAACTGATCTCTGAACATGAGATTCCACAGCATTGCACCCAACCAAGTAAATATTTTATAGCAAAAAAAAAGGGTAAGATCTGGCTGATGACCAGAGGATCACTGAAGTATCATTTATTGTATTAAGAAGCTTCTGGCCTGCTGTAGCATAAGAAAAGCTGTAAAGGGGCAGATGAAATGACAGCTAAGAGGCATTATTCTGTAAGCAAATATTCCTCAGAATATGTTCTATACACTGAAAGAACTGTATAGAACTATGACTTAATAGTATAAATACACACTTCCAGAAACCAAGTGCTAGAGGTAGGAACAGTCTCTTTTATCTTCATTCTTAATGATCCACTGTGAGATTTTGTGCTTTATGAACCTGCAATTTGTGCTCTGGAGGACTAAAGGTCTTACTCTACAAAGAAGGTAGATATTCCCCAGCAAATACAGGAGGAGCTCCACTGAATTCTGTGGTGTAACTGCTGTGATTTGGCCAATGCATTTGATTCTCTCCCAATCCGAAAAGGGGCAGAAGTTCCAAGTTTCTGGGGGACAAGCCCACTGAAGGCCTGGATGAGCAGCTCTTTGGATATATACGCGGAAGAAGACCTGAGAAGCAAACCTGAAGACTAGCAGACATATAAATGAGTTACACATACTGATTTTCACTCCTTACCCACTCCAGTCGTAAGTAGTACAGCAAGAAGAAACCCTTCGGTTGTCATTCCCTTAGGTACCGGCTGCAGTAAGAGAGCCACCGGAAGTCACACCCTTCCGCAGAACGCACATCCGGTGACCAAGAACAATGATGACGCTGCCCAGAATTCTCCATTGCTTGAGTCATGGCACTATCAGGCCGACTTCACAGTTGGTCTATTCTTTGTGCCCAATCTTGACTGTTCCTCTTCCTTTACTGGGGTGTTGATAAACTAATTAAAACTTTGCAACCCATATTCTGTCTTAGTTTCTTCTTCTAGTGTTCAGTCTTTAAAACACACATTCGTTTGTGATTAGTAGCATTCCTCTTTCCCCATTCATTAACTCAGCATTTCCTAAAATATTTTGCTAAGAAACCAGATACTAACTTTTCTTCTACGATCATATAAATCTGTGAACAAATAGCCTGATAAATAAATGCTGGGTAAGGTAAGGTAAATGTGCTTTTTTATTAATGACTGGTCCATATGACCTGGAAAGGAACTTAACACCAATCAACATTTCCACCTGGTGACTCCTCAAGCAGCAACCCTTTTCCATGCATTGCCAATGATCATTTCTTCAGCGAAGAAGTAACTGAGCAGTATGTCAGTCAGCCTTCCACTATGTAAAACAGTCCACTTCTATAAGAGAAAGGTTTGTTCTGACCACAGTTTCAGATGTACCGGTCCATGACTGACTGGCCTATCGCTGTGGGCTTGTTAGGAGGCAGCTCATCTCATGGCACCATACTACGCATGTCACCGCTGCGACCAGGAGGAAAAGTAAGAAGAGACTGCAGCACTGCGGCCCTGTGCGGAGGCTCAGCGCCGCAGACCTGCGAACTCCCCGCAGGCTCCAGCTTTGGAGTCTGCACCGCGTCTCTGCAGGGCCGCAGGCTGTGGAGCAAGCCCTTAGCGCACGGCCCCTGGCGCATGCTCTGGGACCAAGAGATAGCAGCAGTCTGAGGTTTTACTTACGCTTTTTCAGGAGCAGAAATAAGGCCTTAAAAATATTGTAAGTCATCAACTAACAAAAACTTTATATGGTCATCTTTAATGAGAATTCTAAGACTATTTTATGGCGTCTGTAATTTCTTAAAGTTTGGAAATTCGACAGGGAAAACTCAATGATCCTGAGAATAAGGGAAATTTGAGGAAAAATTAAACATTTGGTTTTTCATAATTTTAATATCACCTGTCTTTATTAATATGAGATAACATTTGTCTAAAAGATGTGTGCAGATGATAAAAACGACTCAGCCAGAGTTTTTAAAGTCATACCTTTTAGAATAGTGGTTTCCTCAGAATTTTTCAGTGGCAGAACACTACTATGCATATACTCTTTAAAAAGGATGGAAATTCAGTCATTTGCGTGTATTACTTTTGTTACCCAAGAAAAAGCCATTTTCGTCCAGCTTTTAAAGACCTTACAGATGACAGTGTTCACACTTTTTCCAAGATGCCAGCTTCATGTTAACTTTTTCCTGGTAAACTACTCTGCAGTTCTCTAAATGATTTGTTTCAATCCATCACACTCACCTGGCCACTTTACACTGAGAAAAATGACCAAATGAGGGACAATGAAATGTGAAAGATGTTTTCTTTGGGGCTTCAGGGAAATAGGTCCTGGTGCTAAGAACACATAAGAGAAGATGAACATTTCCTTCCAATGAACTTGCCAACTCCAGCTAGAAAGATTGGTGGCACTTCAGTTCTTTTCTTTTTCTTTTTTTGTGTATTCTTCAGGGTCATTTATTACAACTCATCTGTTATGGTTGATACACTGTGTCAAGTTGATTGATACATTGTGTCTAGAGGTTTGGCTAAGTGACTCAGCAGGGAGCCAAGGTGCTTACTTTGTATTCATCCTGAGCCTGTGCAAGAGGAAGGCATGCAGAGGGTATGGGTGTAGAGGACCACCCCTACACGCCCAGGGTGGGTAGGCTGCATAAAAAAAGGGGGAATTAAAAAAGGACTGGCTGCTGGTTCTTCAGAGGAGCTCCAGTCTTCGCCTTCAGCTTGGTCCTCTCCTGGCTTCTGGTGCAGACTGTTCGGCTTCTGCCTGGGACTCTTCAGCCTTCTGGTGTAGGCTCTCTGTCCATTGTCATAGATAATTCAATGTTCCGTGGCAGACCCATCAACCCACTGATAGGGACTTGCCCAGACAATGCAGCGAGCTCCAGGCCGGGGGCTGGGCTCTTCAATCTCCAGGGTGCAGACACCCTCTGCACGCTTCCTCATCCAACTCTGTGGCTGACCACTGTAAGCCAAACTTGTAATTTCTTATACATTTATGTGTAATATCTGTTATATCTGTTTCTCTAGTAAACCCTGACTGATACATCATCATACTAGATGCAGTTGTCTTTCTATTAGCCTGAATATGAAGACAAAACATGGGGGAAAGTAGAGCAAAGAGAACTGGAAAAAGCTGAACCAGAGCTTACATATTCCATAGACTGACCTCATCTTTCACGTAGACTTCTAATATGTACAAGAATGCTTGTTTTTCATTAAGAGTTTGCAGTAGGATTTTCAGTTACAGGCAGAATGAAAGCATCTTTGTTGAGACATTTCCAAATACCAGTCAGCTTCTCCTGATGAGCAGTCGTAAATTTCAGCATAAAAAATAGAATTTCTGAATGATGAGATAAACATATTTCCAAAATTAAGGATTAAGATATATAAAATTTATAATAAGTAATCAAGCATGAATAGTCATCTATTGTTGTTCTTTTTCCTTTTAAAGAAAAATATGTATTTTGATAGAAAATAACAGTAAGTATAAGATATGTTTTCTTTTAATTTTTTTCATTAGCACCTCTTTGCTGTGTATAACGATCACACCCATCATGGAGGATCTGCACGTATACGTAGCACGTTTGATTCTTTTCCTTGGCCCCTTCCCCTCTTTTCCTTACATCCCTCCTTTTCTACTCATTTACAAAGTTCTGTTTCCATTTTTCCTTGAATTCTTTTTTTCCTTAAATCCCTTTTCCCTTCCTTCCCATGACCTTTCCCATCCCTTGTGCCCCATACCATTTTATTCTATTATTATTAATCTCTTTCTTTTTGAGACAGAGTCTTGCTATGCAGTTCAGGCTGTCCTTGAGCTCACTTTAAAGCCCAGGCTGATCTCAAACTTGCAACAGTCTTCTGGCCTCAGCCTCCTGAGTGCTGGGATTACAGGCAGGCACCACCATGCCCAGCTCTGTCCCTTCCCATTCTAAAAAGTTCTTCCCACTTCATATCTATCCTCCATTTTGCTCCTTATTTCTATTTTGGATTTCTCACACAAGAGAAACAATGCGATATGTAAACTGTGTGTGTTTGATTTATTTCATTTATTCTGGTGTGAAGATGGATCCACTTACCTAAAAATGTCTCAGGTTTATCCTCCTTTATGACAGAGTACAGGATATTATACTTTCCAGATGTACTAGGTGAGATACTAAGTAATGTTATCATTCCATTTACTTATTTTTGTATGCAAAGGTATGGTTGACCCTTTGTTTAAGCTAATCTCTTCCTAAGTTGTAATTGCCTGTTCTGGTTGATTTTCCATCGCTAGGACAGAGTACCTGACATCAAACATTTAGGATGAGAGGTTTATATTGGTACACCATTTCAATCCACAGTCAGCTGCTCCAAGTCTGGAGCAACATGGAGGAAGGAAAGTCAGTCCATGAGGCAGAAGGAGAAAAGAGGAGCCTTCCAGGTTCTGCCCCAGGGACCTTTCTTCAGCCAGAGCCTCCCAGTAAAAAGCATATTCAGCTGCTGAATTCACCAATGGATAGTTACACTGATGAGATAGACTCCCCTAATCACCTTCCAAATCTATGACACTGGAAACACGTTTTAGATCTGAACCAAAACATCCTATCTCTGGCCCCCAAAAGACTCGTGTCCATCTCATTATGCAAAATATATTTAGTCCATCTCTAAGAATCACCAAAGTTTTTCCAGTTCCAGTATTGCTGAAAATTCCATGCTCAAGGCCTTCTCTGAGACTTTAGACAAACTCCTAGCCATGAGCTTACATGAAAATCAAAAACAAAGTTAAATTCTTCCAACATAGAACTGCACAGAGTAAACATTACCATTTTTTAGGGGTGGGGGTTGAAGGGAATTGGAACCAGCAAGATCAACACCCAGCAAGGTAAACAATAAACCTCTAGAGCCCTGTCCAGCAGCACATGGTGAGAAGCAGACCGCACAGGGTTTGGCCAGCCCTGCCCCCACAGCTTTGCCAGCTGTGACTCTCATGGCTACTCTCCTAGGGTGGCTGCGGTAATTGCGTTCACCTTTTCTCAACAGATATTTCACATTTCTGGCATCTCCAAATTTCTATAGTCTCCATAGCAATTTTGGCTTCATTCTCACAGCTTCACACATTGCCCTCTCCAGGATACTATGCCTGGCCTCCTCAGTCTTCTGAAATCTGGGTGAAAGCCTCTGCTACTTAATAACTTGACAAATCCACTGGTAATTTCCACACAATTAACACCATGTAGATGATACCACGCTCAGTTGCTACTAGAGCAGTAGCCAGAATTGTTTGAACCATGGCTGCAGAAGCCTTTGAGTGCCTGAATGCCTATGCCCCATGAAAGAAATTCCATGAATCCAATTTCTTAGGTAACCCTTCTTGAGAAGTGCTCCCCAGAGTTCTCTTCTCAAATGAAAGCTTCGGTGTTTTGCGCTCTTGGGCCTGGGAAGGGTACAGTCTTGCTTTTTTTGGTTGTGTTTTTTGAGATGCCTTCAAGTCATTTTCCTATTGTCTGATGTGCAGTAGTTGGTTCTCCTTAACTCTAAACTTTTGGCAACCACTGTCTCCAACTTTTAATGTACTTCATTTCTGATGAAACTGTCAACTTTTTATATCTGCTTTTGGCCCCCAACTTTCACTGTAGATCTATCTGACTAAAAGAAGACAAAAGTACCATACCACATCTTTAAATTTGCCTGTTTTGAAATTTCCTCTGCCAGAATAATTAGTCCCTCATCTTTAAACTTATTTTTCCACACAATTTCAGGATATGATCAAAAGAAACAACCTTTTGC